TAAAAAATATAAAAAAAAAACTCTATAAAACTCTAAAATCTTCCTAATAAAATATTTATTAATTGATATAAAAAGAATAGTTATTTTTTATGGAGTTTGTATATATATATATATATATTACTCTATAAAACTCTAATATTTACCTTAAAAAATTCAAATAAACCTATTTATCTATTTATTAATATGAATTTTTTAATAAAATAAAATCTAATTAGACAAGAATTATTAATATAAAAAATATTTTATAATGAGTTTCCAAATAAAATGAAATCTAATTAGACAATGATACATTTAAAGAAAATAAAATAATTTATACAAAACTTTATCACAAATTACCTATTTTATTTTTAATAAAACACTATCACACTAAACAAAGATATATTTAAAACATTTCTATAAAACACTAACACATATTACCTATTTATCTATTTATTATGAGTTTTTTAATAAAAGGAAATCTAATTAGAAAAGTATTATTAATTAATATAAAAAGATGTTTTAAAAGAGTTTCTATAAAACTCGAACACAAATTGCCTATTTATCTATTTATTATGTATTTTTTAATAAAAAGAAATATAATTAGACAAGAATTATTAATATAAAAAATATTTTTTAATTGATATAAAAATAATTTTTTAAAGAGTTTCAATTAACTCTATCACAAATTACCTATTTATTTATTTATTATGAGTTTTTTAATATAAGAAAATCTAATTAGACAAGAACTATTAATATATAAAAATTAAAAAAAATTAATTGTTATAAAAAATAGAACAATTTTTCTAAAACTCTACCACAAATTACATTTTTTTTTTTTAATAAAAGGTAATCTAATTAGAAACGAATTACTAATATATAAAAATATTTATTAATTCATATAAAAAGAGTTTTTAAAAGATTATCAATTAAACTCTAACACATATTACCTATTTATTATGTGTTATTTTAATAAAAGAAAATTTATTTAATCAAAGATATTTTTAAAAAATAAAAAAAAAATAATATAATATACCACAAATTAGCTATTTTATTTTTTATAAAACTCTATCACATTGTTTATTTATTACGAGTTTTTTAATAAAAAAAAATCTAATTAGAAAATAATATATTTAAACAAAAAATAATAATTTCTATAAAACTCTACCACAAATAAGCTGTATTATTTTCTATAAAATTATATCACGTATAACCTATATTTATCTATTTATTATGAATATTTTTAAAGAAAATAAAATAATTGCTATAAAACTCTACCACAAATTATCTATTTTATTTTATTTGAAACTCAATCACATATAACCTGTATTTATCTATTTATTATGAGTTTTTTACTAAAAGGAAATCTAATTAGACAAGGATATATTTAAAGAAAATAAAATAATTTTTTAAAAGAGTTTATACAAAACTCTAACACAAATTACTTATTTATACATTTATTATGAGTTTTTTAATAAAAGAAAATATAACTGGAAAAGAATTACTAATATAAAAATATTTAATAATCGATATAAGAAATAAAATAAGTTTTTTAAAACTTTACCAGCAATTACCTTTTATTGTGAGTTTTTTAATAAAAGAAAATCTAATTAGATAAGAATATATATATTTAATGAAAATAAATAATTTATATAATAATCTTTCACAAATTACCTATTTTACTTTCAATAAAACTCTATCACATCCGACAAAGATATTTTTAAAGAGTTTCTATAAAACTCTAACACAAATTAACTATTTTAATTTCTTTAAAACTCTATCACAGATAAGAAATTAGCTTTTATTATGAGTTTCAGTATTTTAGTATTTCAATATTTATTTATTTATATAAAAAATATTTATTCATTAATATAAAAATAGTTTCTATAAAACTTTAAAATTATCTAATAAAATCAATCGCAATAAAATATTTATTAATTGATATGAAAATGTTTTATAAAAATAGTTTCTATAAAACTCTAAAAATTACTTATTAAAATTAATCACAACAAAATATTTATTAATCGATAAAAAAGAATAGTTATTTTTTTGAGTTTTTTTAATAAAAGAAAATCTAATTAAACAGGCATTATTAATATAAAAATTATTTTTTAATTGATATAAAAAATAAAATAATTTTTTCTAAAACTCTACCAAAAATTACCTTTTATTATAAGTTTTTTTTTTTATAAATAAAATGTAATCTAATTAGACAATAATTATTAATATTTAAAAATATTTATTAATTCATATAAAAAGAGTTTTTAAAAGATTTTCTATAAAACTCTAACACATATTACCTATTTATTTATTTATTATGAGTTTTTTTAATAAAAGAAAATATAATTAAACAAGAATATATTTAAAGAAAATAAATTTTTTTTTATAAAATCTACCACAAATTAGCTGTTTTATTTTCTATAAAATTCTATCACATTATCTATTTATTATGAGTTTTTTAATAAAATAAAATCTTTTTAGACAAGAATATATTTAAACAAAATAAAATAATTTCTATGAAAGTCTATCGAATATAACATGTATTTATCTATTTATTATGTATATTTTTACAAAAAAAAATAATAATTTCAATAAAACTCTACCACAAATTATCTATTTTATCAATTTCAAAATATTTCAGTATTTATTTATTATTATAAAAAAATATTTATTAATTTATATAAAAAGAGTTACAAAAAATTGTAATTTTTTATAAGGTTTATTGTTATATGTTTCAAATCAACAATTAAAAAAAAAAAAATTTGAAAACTAAATTTTCTATAAATTACAAAACATTTATCACGTGCATCGCACGTGCCTTTTCCTAGTATGTATAAATGTGTATTATATTTATTTTGTTCTTGGTTCTTTGTTGTTGTGGATTCTTAGGAACTGAAATTGAGTTAATTTTTTTGGGGTTGATTTGGGGCAGAGAGCATATGTATGCGCGCATATATAAGTCAATTCACAAGAAGTTGGAGCAATAATACAGAAAGCTCCATGTGGACCGTCCATGCATAATGGATCAGTGTAAATATATATTTTTGACCTTATAATTAAACTATTTGTTTATGGTGAAAAAATTAGAAGAGATTGTGTAATATTAAGTTATACTTTTGCCCCTCAAAAAATCTGGTTGGGATGAACAAATTATAAGAGATTGTGTAGTGTGTATATATATATGTGTGGGGTTTTTTTGACAAGAATAACCCTATTTATTACTCTTCTTATGTTTGTAAGTTAATACAATTATGTAATTTGCACTCATGGAAAATCTTCTTCCCAATTTTATTTTATTTTGTTTTTCCTTCTCTTTTTCTCGAGAGTTCATATTGCCGGCAAGCAGTGCAAGAAACACTGTGAGATTGCCATCGCCCAGAGAGCATTGCAAGAGAGAAGTGAAATCCATATTTTTATCCCTCTGGCATCGACAGTGCAGTTGTCGATTCATTGGATTCGGCCAGACTCAATATTTTAATTCTGGCTTCTCACCGGAATCATTCTCTTGTCGTCGATGTCATCTTATTGAACATGGAATAGTAAAATAAACTATGAGAAAGTTGAGTTCCATTGAACCCAATCTGAATTCATGTTCAAATCTGGTTTGTATACATATTACGAATTTGATTTACTAAGCACTTTTATTTTAATGTTTTCTTTTTAAGAAGCACCAGAAAGCTCACAGCAGAAGGTTCACAACGGTAATGGTAGGTAATGAAATTTAGAAATAGTAAGAGAACGGCAAACACAAACTGATGGAAAGAGAAGAGGAACACCAGTTATATTGTTGATACAAGTGGGTCACTTTTTGTCCATTAAAATAATAATTTCAGTTTAATGAATGAATAATTTAGTTAAGGTTATTTTTGTCCAAAACTTTTTTAACCTCTCACTGTTTTGACGTTTAATATGCATATGGAGGTAGTGTATCAAGTCAACGAAATTAGAGTGGTAGTTGACCAATATATCACCCCAACTTCTGGCTGGAGATGAAAAGCTTGAGGGTGCTTTGTGTAATTTGCCCTATAATATATAGAGGGTTAGTTTTGTTCATTAAATAATTAGAAAAAAGCTTAAAATGATAATTTCATTATTCAAATAAGTCAATTCATGTATAAATTCACTTTGTGTTAGAGGTGGTGGAGTGTTATTGTTAACTTTTTCAAATCCCGGACATTTTCGAAAAAATAAAAGAGTAAAACGGATATTATAGCACTAATTTATGTCAGGTTTGATAAAATTTAATAAAAAAGTAAAACGGGTATTATAATACTAATTTATGTCAGGTTTCATAAAATTTATTAACCCAATGTCAGGTCACACGCAAGAATTGAGAAAAAATAAATGTTACTTTCCTTTTTATCCCAAAAGTTGTAACTTATTATTTGGTTCGAAGTGAAAGATTAAAGGTTAAATAATTTGCTATAGCCAAACTCAATTCCTGAGCTCAAACTTCAGGTCAAAATTAATAAAGAACAATTCAATTATAAAACATATAAATTCTATTAAATGAATAATATTCACTAGTTTTGTCTGGTTTAATTCATGAATTTCGACCAATGAACATTTTTTCACGAGCTCAAGGAACGAAGCCATGAATTATTCAGTTTAACAAAGGAATGCCAATAGTTCCAATTTGTTTACAACCCTAGTGAAGATTTTTTTAATTTTTATTTATTTATTTAAAATATTCAGAAAATTAGGAAATAAATAGAAAAGTGAAACATATTTCAATTAAAACTTCTAAACCTTCGTTACTATCTGTATAACATAACTTTTGCATCTTCTCTCACTCATCCTTCTCTTTGTTAAAAGGAGATCGACATGATGGACTAAGCAAAGAAACCAATCAAGTCAGGCAACTGTTTTTCTAAAAAGATAGAATCTCAGTATACAACTCCTAAAAGCCATCCCTTTCTTTCTTCTTTTCACAAACCCAAACATATAAAACCTTCCATCATTTTCTTTCCTTTCCACCTTAAATCAATCTCCAAAAACCCACTCCAATTCCAACCTCCATAGCCATGTCTCTGATCAATCGCCCTCGGGTTAGGGTCAATGGAGTCCAGAGAATGAGAACTCACCATTACTATTGGTGTAGGCAATGCCAAAGAACTGTCAGGATAGCCTCAACCAACCCATCTCAAACTTTATGTCCCTATTGTTTAGGCCTACTCGGCTCTGAGCTCGACATGTCAAGGCCAATGCTCTTTCTCGAACCATCCCCTGCATCGCGGTTACTGGATGCCATGGTTGCAATGTTTGATCCCCCCTCAACAACAAGCCAAACTAGTGATGAAAACTGCCGTGCTTGCGAAGCTTGGATAATCCTCCATTTGGCACGCCCTATTCGTCCCCCAGGAGCCCTCTCTCCACCTGAAAGCGCGGTTCCTGAGGCCATGGACTCGATGGAAGTCTCTCCCGGTAATGGGATTGAAGAGGTGATTCAGGAGCTGACACAGAATGATAGGTCCGGGCCACTACTGCACCTGTTTCAGCCATTGAGGCTTTGCCTACGGTGATACTCACATCGGGACATTTGAGCACTGACTCCTACTGTCCTGTCTGAAAGGATGAGTTTGAGGTTGGTGTGGAAGTGAGAGAGCTGCCTTACAAGCATTTTTATCACCCTGATTGCATCATTCCTTGGTTGAGCATCCACAATACATGTCCAGTGTGTCGGTACCAGCTAAAAGTTGACGATGATTCTGATCAAATTGACAATATTGCTGAAAATTTTGGTGTGGAAGAGGTAGCAGATCAACTGAACAGGTGGTGGACTCAACCGCATTCTTTGTGGCCAATCAGTCTATTGTCAAATTGGAGGTCATGGTACCTCAATGTCAGAGGCAATAGAATAAACTCTTCTGAAGGTACTTTATTTTTTTTGTTTAAAACTATGGTTTAATTCAAATTTCACATGCAAAATTAACATTTCATATCCTACATTCTTGTTCCTTCATATTATAACAAAATGAAAGCTATCTAGCTAGTCCATCTCTATCATCATTAATATTGCGGTCATACTAATTTGTCTGGTAACATTTTACAGACAGACATGGATTAAGCTGTAACATTCATTTTATAAACTCATAACTCTTGGAGCTGCTAACTCTCTTGAAGTAAAATGTAACAGAAATGTGTTATTTTCAACAGATGGTCCGTGGTGGCGCTCTTGGCTCATTTTCTAGATTTTTGTCCAAATTGCAACCCTGTGGAAGCCAGAAGAAAGTGGTTTGTATAAACAGTTTTATGATTGAATCATCTCTTTGGCAGGTATTTATTTATATATACTTTTTTTAGAGATTACTCTGATGCAAATGGCAAGGTATCAAGGTGGGGGGTTGTTGTCGTCGCACTACACCACAAGCTTAAGAGTGTGCATTACTGTGATACCCCCTGATTTCGGAACACGGGTTGATCAAGTCCGCGCACAAAATCAGGGGATATCAAAACAATTAAAGTATTTCAAACAAGCACAGAGTACAAAAAGAAATAAAATAAATAAATAATTCGCTGAAGGAAAATCTATTAAATAAAAATTCCATTAATAACTCCAAAAGTTACAACTCGGGAATCCCGTAAGTCAAGGGCCCCTGATAACATAATCCAATACTCCAATGGTCTCTAAATAAAATCCATTATCTACAATAAGAAAATATCCAACATTGAAATAAGAAGAAGGAATGGATAAGTCCTCCAGTTGCGGATCCTCAACCTTGAGATTTGAACTTCTAATAACCTGAAAAATAAATCGTGGGTTAAACCCTACGAGCAAGTTCTCTCTACCAGACCTCTGAAAACCAATAAATAGATCATCTCTAATCAAAACCAAACCTAATAAAGTCTTTATCTTTAATGTACATAATTATATACAATATAACTATCACAACTATTACCAAGTTCATTAATTCCAAACCCATTATCAATGATTAATTAATAATCATACCTAGTCCAATCCACAATTTCTTTTAAAGAAACTCCTCTAACCCTAACTCCATCATAGACAGCAATTTAATAATTTAAACCATAAAATATAATTATAAGAACATTATATTTAATTCCAAAACCAATAATGATTTTTAAGTATTTAAATCACACAGTCAATATCTAGACTTTGACAAATCATCCGTGTCACTACCAGTATTATTTTATTAATATGTATAAAATAATACACTAAGACTATTCTACTTTAAGAATATCTAATCCTAATCCAACTTACACAAACAGTAACCATAGATTATATATTTTAATCATCAAATACACAACAATATAATTACATTTTGGCAAATCAGCCATGCCATTATAAATATATTTATTTATATATCGGCAACTCAACCATGCCTCCTTAAGTATGTTTATTTATACATTGGCAATTCAACCATGCCTCCACAAGTATAATTATTTATACTTTTAATTAGCAACTCATCCATGCTTTCCATGTATGTATTATATTCATATAAATATTTAGGTAATATATTTAACCCTTTGACAATTCATTCATGCCTACACTTTAACCATGAATCAATTTTAAACTTAACCATACGCTAAATCATACATAGCCATCTCATGCATATTCTACGCATATCATTAATTTAATAATCAACCTATCAAGATATACCAAATAAGAATGATAATATTAATCATCTTAAATGATATATATATACATACACATATATCACACAATATATATATGTATATTACCTTGCATAATAATTCTTAATTATTTACAACATATACATATATCAATACATATATATATATATATATATATATATATATATATATATATATATATTTCCCTCCAAACCAATCACATATTAGTTAATTCATATATATACATATGTAAAATAAATATATATATGTATGTAAAGTTCCTTCCATAACCAATATATTAATTAATTATAATTACGCTAACTAAATGCAACTAGTTATCGTAGTAGCATCCTATAACCCTCAAACACCTAAAACACATCCCTTAGTAATTAATTTCAACATTTATAAACTTGAAATCAACTCTGAGACATTACCGAACTCCACAGTAATTTTCCAGAACCCCAAACACGTTCACATGCGCCCCCACGCACCGCCAAATGTTCCTACACTTGCTGCACGCGCTTCCACGCGCAACCACAAATAGCCACGTGGCCTCACGCGCCCCCACGCTCTCACGCGCTGTCCACGCGCCTGATTATTCCTCTTGCTAACGTGGCATCTTCTAACTGGCTGTTCTTTTGTGTTCTGGTGCACTCACCCACAGTGGATCAATTTTTGTTGAACAGACCTCATCTACGGTCTAGATGCATCCGCGCATCCGATCTCCATGCGCCACGATGCACTGGATTATTGTGCACTCAACCACTTCACCCAGCGCCTCAGATCATCATCCGCACCCTCACTCCATGCATTGCACCACACTGGATCTTCCCTTGATTATAGGACCATCCTAAGGTCCTAATTTAAAGCGCATTGTAGCGCTGTATGCCGCGCCGCACAGTAGAACACCTCTTATTAAAGGCGCCGAATTCCCCAGCGTGTATATATATATATATATATATATATATAAACCATATTATATATATATATATATATATATATATATATATATACAATGTAAATTTCCACATAATTTAATATAAAAAAAATCAACCTAATTAATTCCAGAAAAATATAAAAAAAATACCAAAAAATTTTAGAAAAATACCAGAACATATAGAAACCCTAATTAAACCTCTTGGGTCACAAATTCACCTACACCTTGATTGTTAAAAAATATACAACACATACGTACACCATTAAAATCCAATAAATCCACAAATCAAATATAATAATTTATGTTTTTTTTTTATTATTATTCTAATCTAACTATGATTTAATCAGTAAATTTAATTTAAAATTATGATACTCAAGGTGATAAACTTATGGGTCCTAAGAGGAGAGTTAGAAAAAAACTTGCCTGAAGGTTTCGAAACGAAACCGACGCTTCAATCTTTGATTGTCTTTTCAAATTTTGGCATCCTCTTTCTCAGATCCGGCCTACTCCTTGTCAGCTTTCCCTTCTTCTTCTCTCTCTATCTCTCTTATTTTTCTAACGTGTAAAATTTTTAACAATAAAACCTTATATCTATATTTATACACATTAATTACCCTAATTCTATTCCCACTAGGATTACCAAATAAAAATAATAATTATTATTTTTTAAATAATATAATATATATAAACATATATTATATCACCTATATATATATATATATATATATATATATATATCTTCCATAATTAACTATTAGTTAATTAAATCATATATCCTATATATGTCCTTCTATAACATTAATTAATTAATTATATTTATATATAATTAAATATCTAGTTATAATTATACCAAAATGATTAAATAATCACAAAACCATAGGCTTAATTAATTAACCCAATAAAGTTTCATTCAAGCCCAAGACCATATCCTTTGGCCCAATTTCCCTTAAACCCAGTACAATTAATTTAAATAAATAAAATAATAAAAAAAAACACTTAAGAATGTACAACTAAGTCACATTATACCAATAACATCAACATGCCAACAATCAATCATCATACATAATCACGAAATATAACTTAATTAAAATAAGATTATTAATCTAGCACTCAATAAAATAAAATAAATCATTGAAAAATAAAATAAAATAATTAATCCTAATTAATAAATCCTTTAAAAATATCGGGGTATTACAATTAAGGCGAGGGCCAAGTTTTACATTTATAAAAGCCACTACTACCTTCACTAAAAATATAGTTAGGGCAAGTAGGGATCGTCCCAAGGGATTGGAGTCAAATTTGGTTGTGGAATCACAATTAGAGTTAGTTGGTCGAGTGATCAAACAAATAGTTGGTTGGTTGATTAAACTAGAGAGCAAATTAAACTAAATAATTGAATGCAATAAAGAGTAAGTAAGAGAGAGAGATCTTGGGGTTAAGAGGTCACCACCAAACAATACTTTTCTACACCCTTAACAAGTGACTAATGAGGGAAATGTGTGTTGCAATATTGATGTGTGTGTGTGTGTTTGGTTGATTTAATTAGCAAAGATGACCAATTAAGTATATATTGTCTAAGCAACATGTGAAAAGCACAATATATCTAATAATTAAGTATATATTGTCTAATTAGCATGTGAAAAGCACAATATATCTAGCAAGTCATTAATCCTTTCATTAAGCTCACAAGCCAAATACATCATAAGGTTAGAGACATATGCTACTTGCATTCAGGAGTTTGGAGCATCAAACAACAACATGGATTGTCCTCCCTGTTATACATAATAAATACTTTAATTAATAATTAGCCCATTAGGATTCAACTTTGATGAACAAAAACACAATGAGTTATAAAATTTAGAACTGGTACATATCTTACTTTGGTCCATTATGAGTAAGAGATTTTGAACCTTAGTTATTGATGCTGACTAAACTTCAAACTGAGCCAAAACTAGGTTCCGTCTATTCTGAATAACCAATGTAAAATTATAAGATCTTCAAACCACTTCTCTCTTTATAGTTAATGGGTACTAATTGTGGTGTTTCATATCACAATTCATGTCATCAAAGAGTATGGTTTGGGACCTTTATATATAACATTAGTTCATTAAAGTTAGTCTTCCCATTAAAGACTTTTATATTTTCATAAAAACACCAAGAGTTACAAGAAATCCTAACTCTTCATTAACTCTTCATTAAGTGAACACTAATTGAAAGAGTTACCAAATGTTATGTTCACTTAACTCTTCATTAAGTGAACATTAACTTTAATTTCATTAGGGTCACTTAAGTTTATAGAAGTGTATGTAACTCAAAAATTGGCGTTATAAGTGTTTACAAAACTTTACACTTTTGGTCTTCAATACACTAGGTGCACTTAATATTGGACCACCTTATGGAATTATCTAGTATATCATAATATCATATGTATGATCATGTAAAGGCCACTAATTAAAGTGATAAATTTCTAACATTCTCCCACTTGGCCTGCATGATTATACCATCTACTAGATTGTTCACATAAAATGGCCAAC